ACAACTGTGAGGGTAGTCAATATGCCGCAAGTGAACTGGGCAGGAAGACCACATAAAAGCCGAGGGCCTTTATCGAAGCACCCGAGCGACATTAGAATGGAAGGATCGCCTGTGGTTAGCAGGAGAGCGAAATACATGGAAGGAGCAAACATAGGCGGGGGTATGTAACGATGAATCACAAACAGTACCCTAGCAATGAGGATGGCATGCGGTTAGGTTCATGATGCTCAGCAGGCGGAGAGTATGCTCAACAAAATGAAATTCTGCCAGATTGGCAACTATTAGAATACGCAGCAGCAGGAGAGGCAGTTCGGGGCAACAAATTGCCTTTGTGGTCTCCTGGTAAGTTGACGAACATCAGCAGCGTTCCAGTGTCTCATCCCAGGAGAAGCCTTCATCCCAGGAGTGGAAGATGACACACCGGAGGAAGGAAGGATACTGCAATCACACAATCCTGCAACGCTTGTCTCGCTTATTGGTGAGCCGGTGGATGAGGAGAATGTCACAGAAGCCAATGGATTTAATACTTAGATCCACACTCCGTTGTAGAAGAGGATGTTAGCAAGATCGTTAGTTCAGATTTAGCACTGAGTAAGGAGCGGGCTAGGCAGAGTCGGTAAATACAGCTATCTTCTTTTTCTTCTCAGGCAAGCCTTCAACACGCCCGCCGCTCCGAGTGAACCCTTCTATAACCGACAGTTCTGAGCGTGGTACGAAGAAACACCGAGCACTTGCCTCATCGATCAGAGCAACAGACGCAGGTAGTATTGAGCCTAACGACCGAATGAATGATATATTATCGATCATTGCGCGTTGTAGTGCTGCAATTAGATAACGGCAGGAGAATGTCGAAGCGTACCAGAAGGACCCCTCCTCGGTTCAAAAATTTCGTTAGGCTCGAAGGGTGAATCACAATCTGTGATTTCTGACGGTCAGCTATTTACCAGCAAGATAGAATTCAAGCTAGTAGCTTCATGCACCTTAAAAAATAACCCCAACAAGATTTTGTGTCGTGTTGGTCTCAATTCAGTGGACTCTGCAGTGATACGAGTGTTGTCGACGTAAGGTAATTACTCTTATCCGCGTAATGACTCTTATTCAACTTGAATAATTCAAGTGATGGCTCTTATTCAAGTTTTTTAAAGGAAACGCTCACTGCAAGTGAGAATCCCAACTGAAACCCGACGGAAAACCGGAAACCCGATGCCTCTTATCCGAGTAATGACTCTCATTCAAGTGAGGGCTCTTATTCAAGTTCTCAAAAAAACCCTCACTGCAGGTGAAATCCCAACTGAAACCCGACGGGAAGCCAGAAACCCGACGGGAAGCCAGAAACCCGACGGGAGGCCAGAAACTCGACGGCTCTTACCTAGGAGATGGGCCTTATCCAAGTGATGGTTCTCATCCTTGAGGATTGTCAAAAATCCTTGAGAGTTGTCAAATGGGCGAGCGCGAAACGATGAGGGCGAGCGAGAAAAACGTCCTTGAGAGATCGCAAAGTTCCTTGAGTAAATGAATTTACCCGTAACCCCCGCATCTGTCCGTGCCGAATGACTCGACTGTCTGAATCTCTCTGGAGCGACCCGTCGGGGAAATGCTGCTTCTCACTTGCTGTGCAAGCCCCCAGGGCGTGACTCGCATGCATCAAACTATAGTAGATCCGGCGAGAAAATAAAACTGGTCGTTTGACTATTTGAACTCTCTAATGCTCGGTCTAGCATCTGTCGAGTATCTTGGTCGATCCTGAGCTGAGACACTCTTGATACCAACGTTGATAGGGTATTCGAGATCCGATCTCGGAGATCGTTGAGGTGTGGGACACTCATCCATCTCAGCTCCTGGCTCGTCTTAAATGCGTTGAGTGACATCTAGAGGGAGATGGGTAGAATGGTGGCTTTCCTGATGGGCATAGATGAATCAGTGTTTTCTATATCAGTTTGTATAATTGACTACCCTAGTCAACCCTCCTTCTCGCAGTGCATCTTACTACGAAGGCCATAGTATGTTCGGAGAAACAACAGTCGTAGAAGAAGGCTCATTCCAGCCTACTAAGACTCGTAAACAGAAGCTGTTGGATAAACGGAAGCGGCAGATGAGAGCCGAGGGAGAAGCAGCCGCCCAAGTCGCCGAGAACACCTCGCAGAGGGATGATCCCCCCTCCAAGCCGGAGAAGGAGCAGCATTCCACCGAGTCAACTGTACATATGTCTGAGCCAGCTGACCCTACCATTGATGCGACCTCAAGTCGGGATGGTGGTACCCCTCAAGACGTCCACAGACCATCTCACGCCGCTGCTGCTTCGGCGCCTAAGGTGGTACTACCAACTCCATGCGTTGGTGGTGGTACGAAGTGTAGTGGTAAAGTTCATGGTCCACCTTCTACTCCCCCTAGGGTACATCGCAGCAAGCCTTCACTACCAGTAGGGGAGGTCTGGCCTAACGTATGGGATAATGCGAGAATTGCTCCTTCGTATTATCGTGTACCCAAGAAGCAGGTCTCAGCTGTAACCTCTAAGGAGGTCGAGACGCCTACTACTGCTCGCGATGTTGACGACGAGGAGAAGGTAGTGTCCGACGACAGCCCGAAGGCTAACAAAGAGGAGGATGTCGTCCCGGAGGAGGTCGAGACTGCAGCTGCCACCCGTAGCCCGTCCCTTCAGCCTTCATATGTTGATGTTCCCCTAGAGGAGACCAAAGTACCTCTACCTGCTGCTGTGGAGATGTCTATGCCACCTACGATGCCTCCCCCACTGCCCCCTACTACTGCTCCTGGTCGTGTCCCGACGGTCCAAGCTGGTACTAGTCCGATCAATGATAGCGAGTGGAGGGAGACTATTCTGGTCAATACCAGTGCGCAAACCGATACTCCTATTATCAAGCAGAGAACGATCGAGACACAGACAGAGCAAGTCCTAACCATGGAGTCCAGCACGGACACGTCCCCTACTCCATTTATCCCTCCACCTCAGCTCAGTGCATCGTCCTCTATCAACCCATTCGGCTCGGGGCCTCTTTCAATGGAGGGTTTGTCGTCACTCTTGCCTGACTTCTCTTCCATCGCCGGCCCTCCTGGTCTCTCTGGACGTGCTGATGCTACTACTGCTTCTGCTGCTTCATTTCCTTCAAGTATGGCCACTCAGGGGAATGCTTCTTTGAAGACACCTACAAGTGCTACTGCTACCAGTGGAGGTGTGGGTTATTATGACCCTATGAGGGTTTATAGTACTATGATGTCGCTACAGCAACAGCAGATACAGCAGCCTACGGTTCCCCTTGTTACTCCACATCAGCTACAGCCAGGTAATCCGGCAGCAGCGTTCTGGGCAGCTGCCAACACTCCATCCGCTACTCCCCCTTCTTCTAGTACCCTTATCGGAGGGCCACCTTCGGGAAGTAACGTTACTCGTCATGATCAACAACAACAACATCAGGTGGTATTTGGCGATGTCGGAATGTCATCACAAGTGCAGAAGCAGCAGCAGTCCTCCAACAGTACTTCAACGACTTTAGCCTCTACTCACGCCTATCGTGGCTCAAACCGTTATGATGCTTATGGGAGTGGTAAAGTGAGTTATCAGCAATACCCCAAGCAAGGCCCCCCACCTCCGTCACAGCGCGACTCGACCTATTCTCAGCAGCAGCAGTATCATCGTAGACAAGGTGGTCAGTATCGTAGAGGGGCTGCTGCTACCACTGAGAGATACTAGTGTATTTGGAATCCCATCACGCCATGATTACCTCATCATAATTGAATACCATTTTTGAACTATTGACCAATATTATCACCTGACGATATTCGCTATACTGGTATCAGTACGACTCCCACTACTGCTGCTACTATTAGTAACCATCGTCTCTATCAGTGAGTATTTACTACCGGATAGCTCCATCCTGGACGACTCATAGTGGTATTTCTGATGGCAGTTGCCCTATCGTTGTTCCTCTGCAACACTGGGCGGCGCTCTACTACTACTACTATCTCCGATTGCTTTAATAACTCCTCATGCCTCTGTTTCTTATGCCGCTGCTCTCCTCACCTTGACGAGTCTCTACTGGTCGACGGCATATTAACAGTAGCTATTTGAATACTGTATTGTATTCTAGTCTGTCAATTCATGGTATTGCATGAGTGCTTTAGATATGTAGTAAACATGGATACGGTCGCGTCCTATTCAAGGGGTGGCTCATTCGATCATACCAATGCTACACTCCATAGAGGCGGTAGGGTCCGACGACGTCGACATCGCTCTCGATGGAGGTAGCTTCCCACCTAATGCTGATGGGAAGGCTCTTATTTCAGTGTACTCCTTGAAGCTGTTGCGCTCGGAGATCTCGATCGTGCTGTAAGAGATGAGAGACTCCGCAGATCGGCCGAGACCTATCAACCCAAGTAATCGGCGACGTTGTCATCGGCGTGGGCTAGTCTGTAAGCCGTGTTCAAGGTACCCACTGCTCGACCGCGCCGTAAACTCTACGTCCTTCGAAGTCTTCTTTGGTTGCTTCATCATAATCAACTGTATATTCATTGGGCTTGCCGCTGATAGTGTCCCTGGAAAAGGGTATGATATGCCGCCGATGCCTGCTAGACTGCATGGCTTCTGCAGGTCGGACCATTCGACTGCTGAGCATGTCTTCACTGCCGTCTTCTTCATAGAGTGGATATTGAGGGTCACTTCTGGTGGATGGGTGTGGATGTTTGATAGTAAGTTACTACTTCCTTTGGTGATGACGATGCTCCTCCCTCTATCATCAGTGTATAACTTTCTCGACTTCCTCCTAGTCTTCATCACCGGTGTGATGGCTAACTGGTTCCTGGATCCTCTTGGAGTGGATGTGAGCCTCCTCAGGAAGCTCACAGTACTCCGTGCTCTGCGTCTGGTAGAAGCACTAGTTACCGTGCCGTCCATGGTTGTTGTAGGTACGATTAGCTCGAGCCGTTCGCCTTATCCCAATGTTCAAGGAAATGTGGTTGCTCTTAGGAGGCTTCCTAGACAGTGCTCTCCTTATACTATGGACCCTCATCATAATCACTGTACTCCTATTCATGTTCTCCGTATGGGGGTAGGCTACACTATATATCTATATGTATACTCCTTCCTGTCAGTGTTGAGATCATTGGCCACAATGCTGGAGTTGCTGCAGATCCCGTCACTGCCCCTCTATTCCCTACGCTCCATCAAGGCATGTTCACTCTACTGCAAGTACCTCCCCGTATAGCAGACTTGCCTAGTTGCCCCTCGAGGTCCTCACATTGGACACCTGGTCAGACTCAGTGGCTCGGCCTTTGATGATCCACTTGCCGAGGGTCGGCCTCTACTTTGCGGTATTCATTACAATCGTCGTCTTTGTAATCTATCACAGACTATGGGCATTTGATGAGTAAAGCTAAGTCAGACAGGTCCTCATGAATCTCGTCACAGCAGTTGTGGTCGAGAATGCCTTTGCTCTCGCACGTAAGGATGAAGAGCAGCAAGCTAGAGTAAAGCAAGCCCAGAAGAGGAGGGTACCATCGCCCGCGGTCTTGTGGCTCTAGTTGTACCTAGGATATCCTCGACCTCAAAGACCTCTTTATGGAGTTGGATGCTGATGGCAGTGGCGAGCTGGATAGGAAAGAGTTCGACCAGGCCTTGGGAGATTCGAAGGTAGTCCGGTCTTCCTCCTCTTCCTACTCCTGCTGCTGCGCCTACACTCTGCTCAGATCGTCGACAAGATGTCCAGCCTTGGTATCGAGAGGGAGGACATGCTGAACGTGCGAGGGGAGGGTTCCCGGGGTTTCCCCCTCTGAGTGTATGACTGTCAGATCTGGGACCTCCTCGATGATGGTGATGGCGTACTTACAATAGAGGAGTTTACGGGAGGTCTGCGTATGCTCAAAGGAGGTGCTCGAGCTAAGGAGGTGCAGTTTGCTGTATAACTCGGCACTGTCAGTCATGATGCTCCCTCTTAGGTGCTAGTCCTACTCAAGCAACTCCGGCGGGCCATCGTTGACAGTGAGCCCCCTCCCTGATGGTTGCACAGCTATATAGGTTGCATCCTTCTAGCCAATGAGCTTTCTGACCAAGTATGGGAGCTGTGCGAATCTGTTGAAGGGACTGTGAAAGACTTGAGTGATGTCCGACTAGACCTAGGGATGGCAGCGACAGCTATTGGCACCCTCCGTTATTATTTCCAACATATGTATGATGTTCGCCTCTTCTCGTCAGTGAGGGTTCAGCTCAGGAAAGAGATCCAGCAGGAACGTTTCAAGAATAAGAGAGCTTATGATGGTCCTAAGGCGAGAACCACCGCATTCCGTGTCGAGTCTTGTAGCTGGTCTTCGATTGCAGGGCTCTACTGGCCCCCAGCCACCTCAACATGCTGCTCGCATTGATCATCCGGGTGACACTTCTGGGAATGTAGGACAGTCTACCAGGGACCACTCTAGTATCCATCACTCTCACTCGGAGGCCCCAAGGTTGAGAATCTCCAGTACCAATACCCAATCTCTAGAGCATGATCCTTTGCATCGACGTATGTCACATTAACTTGTTCGGTGTCATTTTATTAACCTATGGTTTGGTTTGTTCAATTTAGTAGCTCTTACAGCTGCTAAGGGCCGTGATGTTGGTGGACATGGAAGAGCACGACGATCTTTTATTCGACAATTGCATGTATCGTAACACGAATAATGTAATGGCTACATCAAGAGACTAGTTAACCATATCGCCTATTGCGCCCGGTAATTTCTCATTATAACTTTGTCGTTCGAAAATCTTCCGGACTCCTACTTCCTATGTGCATTTTCCTAACATTGCATGCCAAAACGCAACATTGTCATCTCTATCTTACATGACAAAAAGGTCTGTCCAGCCTATATTTGAGGGCCGATAATGAAGAGAGTAAACAATCTCCTTAGCATTTCTTACTGGAGCCAGACGTGATCTCGGAACTTGTTTTCATCTGGTATGTACCTTGCTGGGAGGATATTGACTCACACATCACGTGGTTTAATACCATGTAGATAGTCGAGGATGCCCAACACTCCGTAGTTGCAGTTGAATCGCTCATGGTGTAGGTCATGCATTTCTGCGTTCATAACCTGACTATTCGCGATGGATTGAGTACAATAATCATCGATCCTACCGAACTGTAGCTGTATCCTGAATGTGAGACGAGTGTGTTGACATAAGCAAGCGTTTGCCATAGGGTAAAGGTGAGTATCTGTAGTAAAATGGTGTAATACTGCGATCAATTCGACTCTCACATGGGACTGCATAACGAGGGGCCCGGCCAGAATTGGTGTAACATTGACCAAGAGATGTTCCACGGGATGGGTATAAATAGCTTGAAATGGCACCGGAGCTGTGAATCTGCCCAATCACGGTGATGTCATAACGCCTGTTGGGTACATCACCTATGATGAAGCTTGTGCACAGCCTTGTACGCGGCCTTCCATTCGTGGAACATCCGATGGAGGTAATAGAACAACGCTTCCTCCATGAGAAGGAATACGACGAAGTCCCGACATACCGTCTGGTACTGCGGCAGATCCCCAAATATAAAACCTAGTAGGCTAGTTCACAGAAAAGCGTTGGGTGGTTCAGACTCACTGTCACGAGTCAAGTACATCAAAACCAAGTATCTGAGAATATAAACAGGTCTTATAAGCTGGCCGTAGAGACCCTGTGTACTTACGCGAAGGCATTGCCAGTTAACCATGCCATGAGGATGACCGGCATACCAGCGAATACCGAGGGAAACTCCTTCTTGAGTTGCAGCTTTCCTTTACGCCAATGCAGAATCTGTTCAGAAGTATGGCGGGGGAAAATGACGATGGGCTCACTGTAGGTAGTGATAGTAGTAGTCCGGTTCCAAAGAAAGTGAGATGGCCCAAAGGACCTAGCAGGCAGACGAGGATTCCACTCTTAGTCCATTCACCACTCTCAATGAATGTCTGGGTGTACCATGGATAGACCGTCCTGAAAGGGGTAATACATATGTGAATCACTAATGTAGGATAGTAGTAGTAGTAGTAGTAGTAGTAGTAGTAGTAGTAGTAGTAGTAGTAGTAGTAGTAGTAGTAGTAGTAGTAGTAGTAGTAGTAGTATTCGACCTCTCTGCAATGTGTACGACTAGCTTCAGCGAGAATAGGAATACAGCCACGTGTGATAGATTGTACCCGACCTTCGACCGTATCTAAGATATACTCGATCAAACTCGTCTTCAAGGAGAGTTCCCCACCCACCAATGCAGGGGAGGAGGATGTCGTGGCTATCATGCTGGTCATGATGTAGGATGGTACTGAATGAAAGCGTCCCCGGCGGGGTGTTCAATTACATCATAGGAGCACGCAAGACGCTATCAATTACAGAGCAATAGGTCGGCAACGAAGTAAACGTCAAAATCGGAATAAGAGAAAATCCCTGGCTTTCGTCCATGACATTGGGAGAAGAACTTGCGTCGCGAATCAACCAACCAGGGAGAAAAGGCTCCTACCACGCAACCCTCCAAGGGTTCACAGAATCACAGTACTGGGCACCAACTCGCTGCAATGAGCACCACCGTGACGATATCACCGTGCCACGCACGTCCGTAGTTAATTGACGAAGTGGACTGTCTTGGAGCTTCCTTCGACACATAAAGTGTATCAAGCACTCGAAGCCAATGCGCCTCTCCTTTGGTCCCGTCATACGTTTAGCATCAGAGGATATAGTAGAGAATCGTAATTGTAGGCCCTCGTGGCACATGTATTCTAGCAAACATATCAGCCCATTGTTGAAATCGAACTATCCGTGGTGAGAATCATGCAAAGCCGAGCTGTAGAACCTCGAGGTATAGCTGGAATAGGCAACCAGAGTGCTCATAAGTGCCACCAGAATCCCAAGAAGAGCACCTGCAAGACTCTGGGGAGAACACGATTGGTATGGATGACTTATCCTTAACGGGAGTATGTGCTGATTATCGGACACGATGGATGACAAGACAAGTGCAGAGAAGTGTGGATGCAAAAGTTGATGTTAGTCTAGTATTACATGTTCTACACTGCAACGGCATTGATAAGCAGAGTTCGCTACGACTCACTCCTTAAATACAGGGTAGATGTACCTGTACGAGCATAAAATTCGTGAGCTGAAGTTCGCCTATGCATACAACCAGCGAGTTGGTATACGGATTTGATGTTGAACGACAAGGTATACTACGCGGAGCAACCTGAGGGCATCTCGACTAAATCTTGCGCTGTTGAGAGATTTGCTCCCAACAACTCGCCCCTCATACCCGCCAACTGGAGGGGTCACGTGTGATCTCGAGGGTGCTCATCCTCAAGAGAGCTGCGGTTGACGAAGATAGTTACAGTATGATACTACTCCTGTTGGGCGGTGAATGATTCACCGTGAATCTCACCGTTACATATGTAGTGCAATAGCAAAACTGTCCGCAGGTTCGATTCAGGGTCCCTCCTGAAAACAGTGAATCCTGAAAAAGGTGAAGGGCGAGTGAATCCGTTGTAGGGACTTTTCTCCCACTAAAGCGGGTGAAAGCCTGACAATAGTGAACAACAAACTCGCCCGCACCGGTATCCTAAATATCAGTAATTTTTCTACCACTCCTTCCCGAACCGACTCAACTTTCAATGATCACTCTCTCTCCGGTTGATTAATGTTTGGGTAGTCAGCTTGCTCACAAGAATCGCAGCGCTATGGATCACTGAGGTTCGGGGCACATAGTATATAGATTGTTATCTTTTTCACGCCTAGTTCTTCGTTGCGTGTCTTGAAGCGACTTTTCAAAAGTAGGAGCAACACGAACGGTCTAGTAATAGCTTTCGAGTCACCCTATGCCATGGTTGTGGACAGGAAGTAGTACTTCCGAAGTACTGAATGGTGCTCTTTCTTCGGGCTTCGGAAATCTGTGTCGTCTCCAGTCCACTTTTGATCAAATATTTTGTCTTCTGTTCCACTGTTCCATTACGAGGGAGTGAGTTTTCAATCCGTTACCAACTAGCTGAAATACGCGATTGCCATGAGCAAAGCGTTTGAGTCCATAGTAGTGACTATAGGAGAAGTATGGGAACCTTGTTGATGAACAATTCTGGCAGTACCACAAGCATAAACAGCAATGCATGAGGCAACAGGTCCTAATGCATGTTCCTTTTGAACATGAACAAATACAACTTCTATACTGAGCTCCTGAATAGCATTGTATTACAACTCGTGGACCCGGAGTAACTGCTGAGGAGGCGTGCCAGCTGAGTTAGGCAAGATTACTGGCCCGAGCTGGTCAAGACCTCACCCGCCGCAGTTGAACCGGGTCTCAATTACAAAATTACCATGCTGATCACAGGATTTGAACCTTGGACAGTCGGTTACTAACTCTAACGCCTAACCACTAGACCAACCGGTCGATTACAATATACTAGCAGCCCGCGTCGCTTCGCTCCGGGGAATCTCTAGCTCTTACGGAGGGGGGTTATAGTGCATTTCCTGCATGATTTTTGCATTTGGTTTGTTATGAAAGTAAAGCGTGGACTCCACAGTGTGGAGTAATAGTTGAAGGTTGGTGTACTCCCATACGATCGCCAAATTTGCACGAACTGCGTGGGTACACAAATTGCCTAACTGCAAGAAGTGCAAGAAAACGTGATGAAATTACGCACGATGTAGGTTTAGGAATGCGTTGAAAAGAGTAGAATTGTAGTGTTGGGAGGCTTTTAGAATTAATGAATGTAAAGCACCGCATAAGAGGGACACATGCTGAAAGTATAAGAGCATGTAATGAGAATTTGTGGAAGAAATTTGAAAATGTGAGATTTTTACGCACGATTATAGCCGAGTAGCATAAAAGTATTAATATGACGTAAGGTGATCTCGGCTTGAATTTTGTGGCCGCGCGCTCATGGCGCGCGCTAGTTCCTTCACTGTTATCAGGGTTCGTGGGAAATTTATTCCGGTTCACCATTTCCAGGATTCACTGTTTTCACGGACAACCCGATTCAGGGGCGGAGATTTTTTACTCTTTTTCTTTCGCTCTGGGCTACCGGAAAAGCGTCTGTCTTGTGCGCACAGAACCTCTGCTCTCCCGGTCCGCCTGTCGAATGTGGCCCTTACCTGAGCACTGCTCAGTCTTGAGTAGTCGACATCGGCGTTGGGACATTGTGATTCATCGTCTAATACCACCATACTACGGTCGTCCATTGATGCTGCCGACATGGAGCTCCTGCCTCCCAGACGGATAGAGTTCGTGAGGACCAGTGAATAGCTCAGTGCCAAGGTAGTAGAGTGAAGAAGTGTTGGGTAGTCGTACGACTTGACGTGACGCGGGTGAGCACGTTCGTGTTGGAGTCTGTCCGATAAGAATGAAGATGCATCACATAGGCCCAGGCTGGGCCTAGGTGGTGCATCCAGTCCATCCTCTTTGAATAACCATTTGCTGGGCCGCCCGAAATGGTTATCCAAAGAAGATGGACTGGATCAGTACTACAGCTGGCGGACATTTGAATCGTATTCGTGTATTGTGGCATGAGTTGTAGCGTGAGGGATCAAGGCAATACATGCTACCTCAACTCAACCCCCAGTGCCTCTCTCATGCGAGCACCGTTGCTCGAGCCAGTGAAGAATTACTGATGTCCTTCCATGATGGAAGGACTTGTCCAAAGAAACGGATGGTACCAACGGAGAAGATCTCAAAGCTGGCGCTCAAAGTGATGCTCGTAAAGTAAGTGGTATCGCTTTGGAGGGGAGTTGGCAAACACTAGTTGAATATTGGTTGTGGTATTTCGACAGAAGTTCCTCGATAAGAGCCTCCGCACCAGCGTTTACGGTATTCTGTGACTAGATACTGCTTGAGATAGCTCCGTAATAGGTGGGCATTCAGAATCCTCTCACGGACTTATTGATGACCCCTCAGGTACACAGCCACGACGTCTCGCCGTGATGTCGCTGTGTCGGAGGGTAGAAGCTGAGCGACCGCAAGTGTAGCCTGGCATTCAAGTAGGCATGGGAGCGATCAAAGCCTCCGGGTTACTCTGGAAAACTTAAAGACTCTATAAATTTCTATAATATTGAGCCCGAATTACGAATCTCACGCCGAAACACAGGCAACGTATGGGAAGTAGAGTAACACGATTCCGATCCCATAGGGTGTGTTTGATTCGAGTCTCGATGCTCACGGAAAGATATAGTCCAAGAGAGCTTTTAATTTGACATCGTTAGGGGTTATCGAAGGGTTTTAATGTACCGTACACCCTGGTAGTCTGAGGTCCCATGGTCTCTAGAGGGAGGATCAGAATATTCCAGGATAGCACCTACCGTGCGTCATAAAGTGCTTCGTTATTGCCGAAGCACATGGAGGCTCCTCATTGAGGACGTTTAGCATGGCCTGAGAAAGCTGATGATATCAGAAGTCCGGTTCGTAGTAGCATTCGGGTACCTCGACCTCGTAACGCATGAACGAGAATACGCTCGTAACGTAACTCGTAACGCTCGACCTCCGCAGATTCGAGAATATGCGGAGTTGTCATCCCTGCAGTCACTAGGCCGCATTGAAAAATGCGGACTTATGAGCAGAAAAGGAGAAAACATCGAACACGTTGCGGAGGGCCCTATTGGGATCCTCAATCTCGGAAAAATACGTCGTCACCTGATAATACTCTCAATGTCCAATTGAAACGAACCAGGAAGAAATTGAGGGCGCGAACCGAGGCCCGTTTGGATGGACGTTGTATCGGAATACATGGGATGGAAACATATATTCATACCTGTGGAATTAACGGGAATCCAAACTAACCAACGCTACTCGGTGGTGCCAGTCGGACTCAGAAGAAGAATTGTTGGCTCTCATTATCTCTAATATGAACCGAAGTCTCTATCTGCAAGACTTGAAGCGTCGTAAAAATTGGCCCATCCGACCACAACATATCGAGATTGATCCGGCGAGCTAGGCTTGCGCGCACCATATGGGTGCATGCATGCTATAATGAAAGGAAGCTGGCACATATACGTGTGTAATCGACCATCCTTCACCCTGGAAAATCTTTGTGCCATATATAATTCGGTTTAAAATAACGTATGTAAGTTGACAGACTGTATAATCTTCGCTTAAAATTCTAACTTTTGTCATCAAGGCCACGCGTAACCTCGTACATACCTAGAGCGGTATGTACCTCGAGGAAAGTTGAATAGAAAGAGAGGATGATATGTCATCATCTGATAATAAAAGAAAAAACATATGTGAAATACTGTATAATCTCCGCTTGGAATTCTAACTCTTGTCACCAAGGTCACGTCTAACCTCATTTAACCTAACGCGGTATGTACCTTAAAGAACGGAGGCATCAATAAGTCTCCATTCTGAAAATCCTACCGTGTAGGTAGTCGAGGATCCCAAGATAACCGTAGTTACACTCGGGATGCTCATGGTGTAGGTCATGCATATCAGGGTTCATTACCTGGATATTCAACGATAGGCAAGTCTTTAAAGGCTTATACCTTACAGTAACGAAGTTATATCCCGAGTGAGACACCAGCGTGTTTACGAAGGAGAAAGTTATCCACAGAGCGAAGGTTAGTATCTGCTTACCACTATGAAACAATTCCAAGGATTTGACGTACATGAGATTGCATTATTAGTGGTCCGGCGAGTAGAGGGGTGAAGTTAATGATGACTTGATCAAGCGGGTGACAGTGTAGAGCTTGTAGGGGGACAGGGGATGTGAACCTGATCAATCCTGACCATAAGCTCTCATATGACGGAAGGCTGTTCATCACTTATGATGGAGCTTATGTACCACCCTATAGCCAGCCTTCCACTCATGGAACAGGCGGTGCACATAGTAGAGCCCCACTTCCTCGATGAGCATGTAGGCTACCATATCGCGGACTATAGTCTGGTACTTAGGTAATTCTCCGAAGACAATTTCTAAAAGGGGATTTCCCTTAACATGGTAGGCAGAAACTATTGAGGACTCACCGTCAGTAGTGAGATACAGGAGAATGAAGTGCCTGAAATCCGGGGAAGCAGCTACCTCACAGAATTCCAACAGTTTTTTTGTACTCACACATAAGCATTGCCGACGATCCACGCTATGAGGAGGACCGGCATGCCAGCGAAGATGGGTAAAAACCCTTTCTTGAGTTGCATCTTCCATTCGGAACGACGTAGAACCTAGTGATGGTGCTGCAGCTGGAGTGAGGTATAGGGGTCGTACCGTAGGCATCGACAAAAGCAGACCAATTCCAAAGTAAACAATATGTCCCACAGGACCAAGGAAGCCAATGAATATGTCGTTTTTAGTCAGCTTACCGCTCTCTACGAAGGTTCTAGTGTACCATGGATAGATAGTCCTGAAGGGCCAATTTTAGGGCAAGAATGTTAGTGACGAGTATCATTTAACCTCTCGGCCACTTGAACTAACGGCTGAAGGGCCAACAGGAAGAAAGTTATACAGCACAGGGTGTGTAGAACTTTCGATCGTATCTACCGGACCAAAGGGCATCAGCTATCCATTCGGTGTGCATTCCCTGCTTTACCACAGCAGGCGAGGAGGTGGTATAGGAACCTCCAGCTTGCTGAGCTTCTTTCGTGGGATAGGAGTGGTTCATCAAAGGGTTGAAGGAAAACTGATGAACGGTTGTAGAACCTTGACGGTGAAACATTATGATTGACGCCCTACACTTCGTACGGTCTGCTCACGCGTGCGTGAGCAGAGCGTACGGAAGGAGCACACCTACTTCCCATCTCCTTCAGAAGGAGACAAGGAGGCATGTACTATCCCCTATATCGGAGCATCGTTGATGAGGATCATCATCAAACGACTCTATGGTACATAGCTTTATGGAGTATGAGAGGTGGTTGACGATAGTGCTAGCAGACATGTAGACGAACAAAGATCACCGTCTTTCACGTTCAACAATAGGCGCCATATAGTGAGAGATGTCAAGTTCAGTGTCACGGAGTCAGTGAGCCGGGCTCACTGAGCCTACTCAACTGTAAGGCTACTGGAGACCTAATGCAGAAAGGTGCACCATAGGGAGAGTATCTCACACATAGTACCGATGCATCCATAGGTAGACGGTAACTCGTTCCTGAAGCGATATGCCCTCCTTTCCTCGGATTCCCTCATATTCCGCAGCACATCATCATCAGCATAGAATTTTGCCGATATTGAGTAGAGGACGGCTTGACCATTATCGGCACAACCTCCATTCTGATCCCACCACATACTATTGAGTGAGCTATTTCTATGGGGAGGATGTGAAATGGGATGAGTATGATGTGAGTTGTATGAAGCATCAGTCAGAGAGAGCCGATCCGATCCTGTTATGAATAAGTGTTGGTCTTTGGGGTCCCCAAATTGATACTCATATCCTGCTGGAGGGGTTGATTTCATTTGATGATGATGTCCAATCGCTATCGTGATGACAGAAGTGGGGAGGTAGAGACAAGGATACGTGAACGGCTCTTTGACACTGGCATTGCTGGATGCCGCGGGATGCTTGCTGACTGTGAAGAGGACTTTGATGCCTTCCTGGAGATGTATCGATCGAGGGTTACCGTAGGGCTTTTGAACATACTATCCGTCATCAATGTGATAACCATCAGAACAGGCACGAGGCTCGCATCGCGAGAGAGATGAGAACTCGTCTTCATCCTTCGAGAGGAAGTATACTATCAATTTCTCAATACCAGTGAGGGCGTTACATAACGTCGTCAAGAGTATCATGCACCATATATAGGTGCTGCAAGGGGCCAGCCAACACTATCACCGCTCCTCCAGAGATGATATCTTCGAGGATGCACTCCGCTTCTACACGGATATGAGATTGAAGCAGAGCAATCAGAAGTTACGAAGTTTAATGAGCTCACGCACTGCTCTACCCATAGCTAAGCATCGCGAGCAAATAGTAAGGCTGTCGGGTAATGCTGGAGAAGTACCCCATCAATGTCAGCTAGCCGCCCTGGAATCCAGCCGGATTGTACTGATAGCAGGGGACACTGGTTGTGGTAAATCTACACAAGTCCCTCAGTAAGAGCCTCTGTATCTGCATGTATAGCATAATGTAAATAGGTATCTGCTGGAGGCCGATCGAGATAGCTCCATAATATGTGAGCATGCAGAATCCCCTCATAAGCTTAGTGACGGCCTCTCAGGTACACAGCCACGACGGCTTGCCGCGATGTCGTTATGTCGGAGAGTTCAAACTGAGCAACTGCAAGCGTGGGGTAGTAGTGATAACATATGACCTCTGCTTCACTCTCCAAATACTCCCAGGTAGTCGAGTAGCGTATCAGATGCGGTTCGACAACACCAGAACTCGTCACACTAGGATCCTTTTTGTAAGCTCTCTCGGGCAGTCAGGCAGTGGTGAGCATGTGAATGTAGGTTACCGAGGGCCTGTTACTGAGACTCCTCGAGTCGGATGGTGAGCTTTCTGACTTCAATGTATTGTTGTTAGATGAAGTGAGCACCACTACTAGCATCCCTCGGCTTGGCGAGTCCTCCGTGCAACTTATAGTTAGGTCCACGAACGACACGCTCCAATGGATGTTATCCTATCCTACATACCAGAGTTACTCCAGAAAAGGAACGATTTGAAAATAGTAATAAGCTCAATGGCTAGCGTTACGATTAGGCAGGTTACCAGATACTCATGAGTGCAACTTTCGATACGGAGCATTTCCGTGATCTCTTCAACCTCCCTGAGTCGGCAGTTATCTCAGTCTGTGGCAGAAGCTACCCTGTCACTACCGAGTACTCTAGGATCACTATCCTATCACGGGAAGAGCTGGCTATTTCAGATATATCCAGCTGAGCGGGGAACCTCCACCGCAGGCTGCTGCCAATATGCATCGGGCACCGGCTCGCGGGCGCCGGAGACGAGGCGACGATGGAACCGATAGCACAAGAGAGGCCGTACTTGGTATGTCTCTCCAGTCCTCACTCTCTACTGGATTCATCCACATCATTCCTCAGATTGTAGCCCATATCTAGCCTTACTGAAGAAGATCCAGACGACTACACCCAAGAGCCAAAGTGGTGATGCATTGGTCTTCCTGAGTGGGGCACAAGAGATTGAATGCTTATGCAATGCTATACGAGATGAGCCCGAGATCTCTCGTACGTGGATACCTGTAACAGCATACCACTGGTTGTATGTTGATACCATGCTCTGCTAGCTCCCTTTACATGCACAGCTCCCCGTAGAGGAACAGGATAAAGCATTCGACATAGCCCCTCGAGGTGGGAGCGTTTGGTCATCACAATATCACAGTCGTGATATTCCAGGTATGCGTAAATGTGTTATCGCAACTAACGTAGCCGAGACGAGTATCACAATTGATGGTATACGCTTTGTGATCGACAGTGGTAAAGTTAAAGAGATGAGTGTAGATGCAGGGAGCAGCACTAGACGATTGGCAGAGCAATGGATATCACAGGCTAGTGCTGATCAACGGAAGGGCAGAGCTGGCCGCACGGGACCTGGACAATGTTACAGGATGTGTGTTCAAGGCTGCATCACTCTCCTCGACTGCATTACTCCATTTAGGTATTCGGAAAAGCTTGGTCAGCACATGCTGGCTTACACTCGCCCGGAAGTGTGTGGGAGAGGGATACCACCAGATTTGTTGCTGCTGTCATCACGTTATTCAGATTACTCGTAACTTCGACTCTTTGGTCCATAGTCTGTTGCAATTGTTAGCTCTGGATGTTGATGTGTCAGGAGAGGACTTCAGGTTTCCAACGGGTATTCACTCCATCCTTCGTATCATTGTCTATAGCCTTCATCAGACATTCAGGAGGACTCTATGAGATTAGCGCGCAATTACCTATGTCTTGCTAGAGCAGCTACTAAGGACAGTAACTCTACAGCATTACATCTGACGTCGACTGGCAGAGTATGCGTCCCCCTGCTCGTAGTATCATATTATCCATGTAAGGTACTCTCTCGGCTACCCGTACCTATCCCTGTTGGAAATATGCTCTTGATGTCCATGGTAATAACTGATGGATATAGTCGAGGCATGCCTCATTTGCTCAAGATTCTCGGCTCGACGGCCATGAGGGTGGCTACCATCATCGCGGCCTCCCTCAATTTCCATTCGCCATTTCGCTATGGGGAATATAGTGGCGATGAGAGTGCCGATCTGCTGAGCGACAGCGGCGATCTATTCACCTGTTTCAATGTGTAGTACAGCTCGTCCAGTTATGAGGTCGACTCGCTTCGCTGCTGCTATACATTAATCAGATACACTGCATGGCTGAAACGGCGAGTGCAGAGTAGGGAGGGAGCAAGACGATGGGCACGTGAAAGAGGCATTGATGAGTCTAAGATGTGGGAGCCTCATTGATCCATATCACTGTATGGCTGTATGGTGTAGGTACGATATGAGCAAGTCAGCGCAACAGTTACAGGGTCAGTTGAGAGAGGGTCGAGGAGGGAGAGCCGCAGCAACAGGTTAGACCTTGTATCTCGATTTGAGGGAGGGGCTAGAGTTTTATTAGATATGCAGAAGAGGATGCAAACTGATGCCATGGCCCTGCTGGAGGGTAGACACGAAGGGAAGGGTAGTGAAGAGGAGTCAGCTGCCAACATTGATCCTCTTGCTGACAAGAATAGACAGGTTAGAATCAGGGAGTCATCCAAGATGATGAGACCCACCTGTCTCAGAGATTACGATCGGAGTTAGCAAAGCTGACGCGCAACAGCTTCACAGGGGTAGGAGATCCTCGATGTCGATATGATTACCGGAGCAA